AAGTGAAACAGGAAGAAAATGTCCAGAAAATTCAGAAGAAATATAAAATTCAGGAAAGGAATCAAAGTATACAGAAATTCGCAAGTAGATGGAGTCCGAAAGGAAATTAAGTGCAAATAATCTAAACTAATTGAAAACAAATTAATGGTCTCTTTCAATAATGTGTAAATGAAGATTTATTTAATTGTTAAGCAAATTTTCAATTTTTATACAATAAATATTTTGTTATAAAAAATTGTTTCACTATATTTTATGTATTGTAATGTTATTTATTGCAGGTGTATTTGTTATATTTAACTAAACTTTTAATATTTATAGGATAATGCTGAAAAATAACAGAGTTGGTGCAGAAATCTCTGTATAAAATAACATGAATTGTCTGAAAAATATGATTTATTTGTTGTAAATTTAATATTTTGTATATAAATTATTGGATTTTATAATGTACATAAATTTTAAAATATATACTTTCTTCAATAAATAAATTATTTATCATATAAAACCCGACTCAATTATTGCAAATTTTTATATTTCGTGTAAAATGGCTGTTAAAAAAAAGGTAGTGTAAAGTGTCGATTTGATTGATAATCACAACACAAAAAACAAACGATACAACTATTACTCAGTGTCAATGCACACAAAACATGCCGAAAAAATCGACAGATATTAAATGTCAGATATGAAAAAAAACTGAAAAGTGTTGTTATTAATATAAGTCTTTATACGAATGACAAACATTTTTAGTTTACAGTTTTATAATCAACATAGGTTTACTTGTAGCAAGTCGGTGGCAATCGATATTCCGACATTCGAAATCCTTCATAATCATTATCCCGACAGTAACAAAATCCCGACAACTATAATTCCGACAGTAGCAAAATCCTCTACTTATGATGTAAAGTATGGTTATTACGGTGTGGGAGTTGTGATTAGGAGTAAGCCTTTGTTTATAATGATTATTAAGCGTTTTTACAGAATTCGGCCTGGGTGGCAAATCGTTGTTTTCGTTGAATTAGTAATTATATAATTTAACAATAAGATATATTTTATAATATAATTAGTTTACTAATTGTTATTTTTATTACGAGTAACAATAAATTAATTTTAACCTCTTAAGAATTTATGTCGTATATATTCGTCATGGTCTTTTGTATTTTGTAGCGGTTATGACGGATATATTCGCAACATGGATAATAAAATAAGTTAACAACAAAAATACGTGGCAACTAGGGACTTCATACGATGTTTGAAAATGCTTAAGGGGTTAATTTAGAATATTTATTAATTTTAAGGTTTATTATGAATAAGTCAATATCAAATAATTATAATATACTGTCGAGATTTGGATAATGCCGGGATTTTAATTGACGGGATTTCGATACTGTCTGGATTATGGTTGTCGGGATTTCGAATGTGGGGAATTTGATGGTCGGGATTTCGTAGTAAGTATATCATGTAAATGAATGAATCCTTATGAAAGAAAACGATATTTTTCGTTTTATAATTGATACAAATTCATTAGCATCATGTATATTCTTTACTAAAGACAGACGACAGAATAATACCAATATAACACGCATAGTCTTACCTTTAATTTATATTTATGTTGGCAGCAACGCGATGGTCATTTTACTGCAGCATGCAGTTCCTTTTACTGGCAAGATTTACTGGAGATAACAAATGTCTCTTTGGTAAGTCACTAACGTTAAGCCGCTGAGCAGTAAAGCATCAATTAGAGCCAACAAACCGTATAGTTAATGATACACATTGCACACCAAAAAAATAATATTGCATCAAATATAAATTGAAATTGAATCACCGTACATAAATATTACCAAACAAAAAAAAACAACCGTCGATGTGCGTTGCATAATTTACGTGAACTTCAATTAAAGCGCAATATTTTTTTCCTAAATTGTATTTTCTGCCGAACGCGGGAAAAAAAATGGGAATAAAATCGTAATGCCAATAAATTCATCCACGTGAATTGGACCTATCTCTCGTTTTTTTTATTACGTGCTATTTTTTTTCAGTTGCATGCTGAAATATGAAATTTTCAGTGTGCGAAAGACTTTTATTGTTCTGCGCCGAATCCCAACTGAAATGATTTATATAGGTTACAGAGTTTTTTTTTGTAATTTTTTATTTCACGTGTGGTCGCAGGTAGACAGAAAATTGATTTATACAAAGTGCTGTATGTAGATCTATCATTGGCGAAACGTAATTCGAAAATATAAAAAATTGAATGTACCATAGTGGTGAACAGAGGATGGCATGAATTTGCTTGCTTTCATTTATTGAAACACTGTATAAAGTGATACGAAATAGTATAACACTGATAATTCTGTTTATAAAATAAAGAAAATGAATTTCTAACTAATGTCGTTGTACGTAAAGAAACTAACAATTTATAATATAATTAATTAAAATGAAATTAATTATAAAGTTGAATCTGGAATGATTTGTTCTTAATCATTATAACATTTTCATGAAATTATTCGTTTTTCGAACAGTACATAGAAAATAATTAAATTCGACAACCAATAATCTTAATAATCTCAACTTTAGGTCTTCTATATTCTAATTTCGATCTTATCAGAAAATAATTATATGCGACAAACGTTAGTGTTTTGATATATTAAAAACTTTTTAATGATGTATTAAAAATAATAATATCAACTTTAGACCTTATAAAAAAATGTATTCTGTATACGAAAATACATAGGAAATAATTTTATTCGCCAAACGTTAATGTTTTCATTAAAACTTTTTGTTTATATGACAAAATATTCTAATCTTTACACTTATTTATACTTTTTTGATATTTCAGGACATCATTTGATAAAATTAATAGTATTTTGTTAAGAAACATAACTATTAAAAAAAAAAAAATAGTATTTTGTTAAGAAACATAACTATTTTTAAAGTGCAGTTGGCCATAATAGAGATGAACAATAGTAACATTTAAATTGTACTTTGTTTTGTCATGAAAATCTGTAATTACATATAATTTTACATTATTTTATAATTTATCGAAAAGGAAACTGCTGTTTCTATAATTGTTTCAAGATAAACAGATATGATTTACAACTTTAATATAGAAAATTCAAAGTTTCCATATAACAAAATGACTAAGTTCCCCTTTTTTTCTGGATTCCTAACAAATTTTTGAAAACTTGTTTTCCAAGAAATATTCGGCAAAATGAAAACGTGCCTTTATTTTATTGTTATTTAAAAATCGTGGAATCCATCGAGCGAATTTCTTCATGCAGCCAAAATGAGGATTTAATATTTGCGACAAAGCTATGGCATTCAAGCCCAGTTCATCTACTACCATTTCCTATGTCATTCATGGATCTTCATCAATTTTTGCCTTCACCAGGGTTACATTTGTATAATAGGTCGAAGATTTCTGGCAACTCTTACGAGGTTCGTCCTCAAAAGAAAATTGTCCGGTCTGAAATCTTTGAAACCACTTGGAAATAGTCGCAAGAGATGATGCATTCACTCCATATACATTTTGGCATTCCGGAAAGTTTGTATAGGCTTGAGTTGACGTCGAACTTCATAGAGAATGGCAAAACAAATTTTTGCTGTCTTGGTGGTGGAATTACCAACCTTACATCACTAATCTTGCAATTTCTGCTATCCATTCTTACCGATCTTCTTGAAATATGATACGAAATATCGTTAGACTTTAACAAATAGAGAAACAACTTTTGTTTTTCAGAAAAAAATGAATTAATGCCAACTTAGCGAACTTTTGTTAGACCCCACGTATATATATATTCAAAACTATAATATAATATTATTAAAAGTTATGCACCTAAAACTTGAAAAACTATTTAAATATACATATATTATAATATTATGCAAAACCTTGGAACACAAAAAAGGAACCAGAAAACGGCTCAGTTTAAAAAAAGATTTCTCAAATAATCTATTATCATCATTTTTCCAATAAATTGTATCAAAACAAAAAAAAGTAATTGCTTTATGTAAACAGTACGTTTTCATAACCATATAAAGTAATTTTTTATGTTATAGTTTAATATTTTAGTACTTATTTAAAATGTATCTAATATTAAAAACAGTAAAAAAAATGTATAAAAATAATTATGAGTAATTTAAAATTATCAATTAATAAATATTAACAGCATTTTCATATTTTGTATTACGAATTTTTTCAATATTTTTATTGAAGTGAAAACTAAATTTTCATACTTTAAAACATGCAATTTTATGGTTGTTCAAATGAATATTGTTCGTATTTCGTTTAACACGTAACTGTTACTATAAGGTCAATTTGACATAAAAATTTCTCGATGAACTTTATAGTTGCGCTTTCTTCTGTTCCTGTATTTTTGCATGTCAATCAGCAAATAGTACCATAAATCTGTTTGTTGTTTAAGACATATTTGCAGGAATTGTTTTTGAATTTGAGCTTTTCTAATTATGTTTCTGATATGTTTATTCGTCAAGTTTCGTCGTGTAGTTTTGTGTTTGTAAAGCATAAATGTTTTAAGGTAAAATTTTTGATAAAATTATTAATAATTACTAACGTTGAAAATGAATTATTTATGAAACTGGTCAATTTGACCTGATTGTAATTATACTATTTACGTAACTAAATATGTATTTACATCATGTATTCGATATTAAATCAGATGTTCGCTTTATTGAAAACGTCGGTACCCATTTTTTTCTTCCAGTTACTTTAAAAATTTATAAACAATAAATTCGAAATGTACCAGGTTTGGTTGCTGCAAACCACCCGGGGTATTTTTATATAAAACGTTCGCAGGAGACCGCGAAAATTGCCGCGATTTGTCTTCTTAATGTGACACCTGCTTCACGAGATAGATCTAAAGAGAGAGAGAAAGGGAAAGCGAAAGAGGACAGAACTAAAGTTCAGCAATCCCTTATTTATTATTAAGAGTGAAGAGAAAAAAATAAGTTAAAAGCCGTAAAGGAAGAAAGTCGTAAAACAGATCACTCACATTTCAAATGCTTGCCAGTATCGGGGCTCAATTTCTCTGTGCTGGCTGCTGCATCTAAAAGACGCACATTAATGATCTTCTTCAAAGGCGTCTCGGAGAAGAGGACGTAGCTGAAGAAGATTACCGTTCCCTGAAAAACCACACACAAATACACAATATGTTGTATCCGTCGATGCTGAAAGGGACTCACCATTACGACCGTAGCCGAACTGAAGACGTAATGGTAAAGGACATTGTCTGCGGAATTTATGTACAGAACACTTCCGAAGATTGTGATGGTAATCGAGGTGAACACGAGGGCGGATCTTCGGAGCAGCTTTAACCTGGAATTAATTACAATCCATTTAGAAACTGGGAATTGGAAATGCACGTTCGGAGAGGATTACGTAAGAAAAATAGAATAAAAGAGAGTGTGAGATAATCTGTACCTGTTCAAAAGCGGTTCCGAAGGTTTATCGAATTTCGTGTTGATCTTCGTCAATTTCCTTACAACAATGTAGTAGAGAACCGCGTACAGGAGTACAATAATGGAACAGCATGCCACGAATATATTGAAGGACAATGTGCCGTTCAGCAACCACCAAGAATTGATCCTCGAATTCATTGTCAGATGGGCCATATGGTTTCCGAATACGGCAATCATTGGTGCACCTGGAACATACGTACAATCGTAGTTCATTCGGACTGTCCGGTCAATCAAATAATTATATAATATACGTATGGACAGAGTGGGATAATAGGAAAAGTCGTGGCTTCTAGACGAGGTAGTTGCGGTCACAAGATCAATACAATGTTTCACTTTAAATTTTGATAGCTTATTACTGGAGAACGACAAAAACTACAAATTCTATGGACAATTCATTTGGGAAATCCATAGTTTTTTCTTTAATTTGAATATTTTACGTTCTAATTAACATACATGATTAAAGAGTAATTAAATTTAAGGTGACAATATTTAATTTTCAATTTCATTAATAAATCATTGGAAAATATCATTGTTTTTTATGTAATTTAAATATTTTATGTTCCAATTAACATGTGTTGTTAATTAATTGATTAGGCGAATAATAAATACTACAAATCCGACCATAAAAGCACTACTTTAAGTTTAATTTGCAAATTTTCTGTTTCAAGTAACATTGACGGTTAATGAGTAATTAAATACAAAATATAGACATCAAATTTTCAATTTTGGCGGATTTTTACAGAAAAACAATTGCAAATTTAAGAGCAAGCTTATTAGAATATTTTTCTTATATTACGTAATAATTCTGTCATTAATTTTCATGTAAGTTGTTATAATTTGTTATTAACTAAAATTCAAGAAAACATGATGATATTAAATTTCAAAATTTGAAAGAGTACGGTAAAATTTACTAATTACCAATAGATTTACTGGAAAAGTTATAGTTTTATCTTTAATATGAATTTTCTATATTCTAATTAACATGCGTGGTTATCAAGTAATTAAGTAAAATGTGAAGACATAAAGAGAAATTGCAAAAACATATCTCAATAATTAACTAATAGTTAATAAAAGATATGTATTTGTGAATTGCATTATTAAATATATAAAAATATTTTGTGTTAATTTATTGAATTAAGAAAATAAATATCTAAAAAAATATTTTCAATTTTAATAATTTACTATAAGAGAACGATTAGTATCAAAACAAGCACAGAAAGCTTAGTAGGAAAGTTATAGTTTTGTCTTTAATTTGCATCTTATAATAATTTGAATTTAATATTACTAAGTAATTAACCGTAATTTAATAATGTAATAAATAATTAACCGAATTAAAAGATACATAAAAAGTTTTCGAGTTAACTTGTAAAATGAAAACATTTTCTAATATAATTTCTTTAATATTTTACAATTGAAAAGATAACTTAACTATTGCTTATTAATTATTATTGCTATAACACAAATAAAGTCTGATTAATATATATTATAATTAAGTATCAACATTGTATTTTTCTATATTGATCTAATAAGATTCCAATTATGTATTTGTTGTTTAGATAAATGCGCTTTAGCATGTATTGCGGGTAGGAAAGCTTAGGTTCTCCAGTTTCGACATCGTTATGGGTAGGGAATTATCTTGTAGATCCAAATTAGATTACACACAGGAACACGCATTACCCAATGTTTGGGATCGAACCGCACCCAGGCGCATCCACCATAATTTAAAGCGGCTGATACTCGATAATTACCGCTGTCGTATAAACATGAATTATGCATTGTCTCGCCGTTAATTCCCAAACTTCTTGTTGCAGTTATATTATTTATTATAGGATCGTGTTCATTTCTGTTCAAATTACTATCAAAATATGTTATCAATATAAATATTTTAAATATAAGAATATTGACAAATTACTTTACTTAGAATTATTTTAATAATTAATTTAAATGTACGGAATATTTCCTAGTACATTTTCTCAAGATTTGTCATTAAAAATCTGGATATTCGCAATTCCTAATTGTGGTTTAAAATACGATTTAATTATCATGAGTCTAAACATTTTAATTTTGTTAACTTCATTTTAATATTTCGTTACTCACTGGGCGTCTGTGAGACGCCTGTTGGTACAATACCAGAATTTGAATATGATGCAGAGATTTTACGAAACTTAGCAATGGAACCAAACAAAGACCAACGGTCAGAAACAAACGATAGTAGTGATGATACCACGCGAGCAACGATGCTACGATGCTTTGGAAATTAAAAAAACATATAAAACTTTTAACTAATCAAGTTAATAAGATGAGACAAAAGAATATCTTCATAATAATTTTGATATTTTAATTCTTAAAATTATCTAAATCATATATAAAATTAGACAACAGAGGGAAATTACCCAAAATGGGAGTAAAATGGAAATTTTAGCGGGTAATGACCAATTAAATTTCTATGTATTCAATAAAATGTTTAGAATTTACCCCCGTATATAATGTGGCAATGCTGGCCACAAATGAATATATTTTGGGGTAATAATTAAAAAACAAATTAGTAAACTGACAAAAAAAAACTATAAAATTTACTAATAAATCAAATACTTAAAAGTATTACGATTTTGTCAATGTCAACACGGTTAATTCGATACGCGTTGTATGAAATCGCGTTATAGAAAATCGTGTTATTCGGATTTTTAGAAGAGTTGTACGAGAATCGCATTATATACAAATGTAATAGCAATATTTTTAGCGCTTTGTAGGAACTCGTGTTATACGGGAGTTTATTGTATTCGCCCTCGCCAGAAGAAATCAAAGTGGCCAAATTAATATTAAATTTGCGCCCCATTTCCCTCAAGAAAGCAGTACTATTACCTATTACTTGCGCACCTACGTTTGATGCGCCCGTTTGGGGCGGCGCTGACTGTACAAATAATAAAAGTAAAATATATTGCAAGTAGAGAATAGAGGAATCATTTTTCTAATTAACAGATTTGCTTTATGTGACTATAAATTACGTTCCAGTTATATATTTTATTGTAGACAGCCATCTCCGTCGCTCCAGCATTCTTAGCATTATGTCTTTCGCTCTCATGTGTTTTGCGAGTAGAATGTGGGTCCGTGTGCTGCTGCAATGTGTTATATAATACGTATAAATATGTGTGTATGTGAATGTTTGTGTGTGTGTATATATAAATGTGTGTGTGTGTGTGTATATATGGGTGAGCAAAAAGGGGGCGGCGGTGGTTTGGTCATGATTCATAGTTCCGGCGGTTCGGGAGCGACGCCATAAATCCATTTCCGGCCGCGCGCCGAATTCTCTATAAATTCCCGTTAAAATTTATTTGTTAATACAACATTTGCTTTTGCGTTAAACACATCGGAGGCAGAGGACGCAACGAACGGAACACGACCGGCGTAATTATCTCCGAAAAGCCTAGATAAACAAATGAATAAAAACAAAGCAAAATAAACACACAGAGAAAAAAAAAGAAAACAAGGTATGAACAAACGAGAGAAGCTCGTAATATATCAAACTAGCAATTACCGAAGTTGCGCAAATGAACTAATAGCTGTAGCTCGAACCCAACAAAATTACAGGAAAAATAGGGTGTTGTGCAATCCATGTGACTAGAAAAATAAAACAGTGAGTACAAAACTGAAAAATCGAAACAACAACAACGTTGATATGGAAGCGAAAACGGAAGCGAACGAAACACGTTCGTACACAAGCACGCGGAATTTCCGCTCGACTGGGCAAAATAATTGCATACAACAACTTTGTAATGGATGTTGTTGATTTGCGAGTCAGGAAAATCTGTAAAGCCCCGACTGCTTGTTTTCTGCATTTTATTTATTTATTTGCTATTATATCCACTAATCCGAACTCTAAAGAGTCATTAAGCGTTTTCTGCGATATTGAATATACATATTCCATTTGCGTATATTTACAAAAACGTCCTATTAAGGTACGTACATACTGCATATTGTGGGAGACGTACAAAACCATTTGGTGAACCAATTGATCAGGGGTTTCTTATATACAGTGGGGCACGAATGTTGTTAGAAAAACATATTTCTGCTACTTTTTTTTTGAATTATTGTTTGAAATCAAGAATTTTATTAAATTTTCAACATAGGAAACAGTTTTTAAAAATAATTTAATTTAGGTGTCCTCCACCTTCGTTAATGCAAATCATGCATCTGACCTAAACGTTGTTCATTGCCGGAAATGTAAACAAGCAAAATTGTCGTATCCTTAAAATATCCCCCCTAGTAACGTTACATGCAGAACCTATAAATGTGTGATCTGCTGTATCTGCCAACTGTTTTGTTGGCCCTTACTTTTTTGAAGAAAACGATGCCAATGTTATAGATCTGACCTCACTATTCGGTTCATTTTATGTAGATGTTGCAAGTAAAATGTGTATAAAACTAAGTCTAACAAAAAAATCAGTAAAAAAAAAACCATAATTGCCCCTAATGAGGCAACAGCTGCAATGAACAGGACTTGGTCAGATGCAGGATTTGCGTTAAGTTATATTATCATATTTTTGGGACTCACGTAGAATATTGGAATTAAGATTTAAGAATGATGTGTGTAAAGACAAAGCTTTAGGTAATTGCAAAATTTGGTTGTATACTTGTCAAATATTTATATAAGATTATTATGGGACATTTTCTAAATATTTAAAATTATGTTATTGCTGAATAACAGTAGTGAAATATTCACCCCGATTAGCCTAAAACTGTATCTACATTATGAAAGTTTTTGATATTTAAGTGATAAAAAATGTAACATGGACACTAAAAAAATCCATTAAAATTTTCGATTTACGAATTTTTGATAATATGAATTAGATTTATTAAAATTCTGGAGCTTATATAACTATTTTTTTCTATTACTCTTAAAAACTTTGACAAAAATTTTCATACCAAGAATAAAAAAAAATAAATTTGTAATTATTTCTTTAGACTATTTTAACAAATATTATTATATAAAAGAAACAATAATATATGTAAACTTGAACATATATTATTGTTTCTTTTATATAATAATATTATGATTTTACTTAAAATTTCTGTTGCACGACAAATTGTACACATTTTTAGCAATTTTAGTACATTTTTAGATATTTTAAACATTTCATAGTTTGATTTGTATGAATTTTTACATGAACAATATTAATTTAATGAACCTTCCTGTCAGAACATATTTGCATATGCAAATTCATATATTAGTTATTCACAATAATTTAATTACATACATGAAACTCTTCCATATGGACGAAACAAAACCATAGAATTACACAAATTTCAATAAAACGTAATCATTAATTATATATGTTCATATTTCTATGTTTAAATTAATGGGAATTTACATGTAATTCACAATAAATATTATAAAAAAAATCATTTTTTTCATTATAAGTTTGAATATGCATTCAAACTTATAATGAAAAATAAATTGAAATCGTCAATTAATTCTTTCTGAAATAATTTCTATATGTAATTAATTTGTGACTTGTTGCAGCTTCTAAAAATTTGACTATCCAAATGAATGTTTTCCTTTAACTAATTTTTTAGTTAGTTAGTTTTAATTAGTGGTTTCTGCTACAAATTTAAATAATTAATTTGTAAATTCTCAAGTTATCATTACAAAAATGCAGAGTAAACGTTGTTTTTATAGAGAAAGTCAAATAAATTAATTTACAATAAATGTATATATGTAAATTAATTAATTACTATAAAAATGATAGAAAAAAAAGATGTTTTCAAGATGTTAATGTTTTCAAATTTCAATGGACATTTCCAAAATAGTAGAAAAAATAATTTTCAAAGATGTTTTCAAAAACGACAAAAAAATAGAAGTTTATAATTATGTGATATTTTCATGAATTGATAATTTGATTTAGTTGTTTCTTACTGCAACAATTTTGTTTATGTAAAGATTCTTAATTTATCATTAAAAAATATAGAGAAACGTTAATTTGAAAAAAATGTTGAATTATTATTGCCTGTAACAAATTTGTATGTGTAAATATTAAAAAAATTTACATATAATTTCGCATGAACAAATAACGGAAAAAATGTTGTTTATAAGAAGTTTTTCAATAATTATTGAAAAAGTCATACATGAAAATATATAAAAAATTGCAATTAATTTAACAATAAAAATATTCCTTTCAAGAAAGTTTTCAATTATTACAGGTTGTAATAAATTGGTGTAACTTGACGTTATTTGGAAGGTGATGGATGGGGTAGAAAGGAATGGTGGAACGGAACAAGCGGTCCGTGAAATGAATATAATACCTGTAATAATGAGGACGACTGTCTGCTTGACGCTCTTCATCCGAGGCAGTTGCACCAATTCCGAGTAGATAATAAGTAAATTGCTCAGCTGGGACGACATTCCAGTCAGCAGGAAGCTCTCCAGGAAACTCATCACCGTCAAGAAAAACTCCTGCAACAAACGAACATTCCTTCGTTCTCATCTCCCAACTCAACTCTTATTTATATATTTATATCTTCTATCTTAAAATGGACTTTAATCCTGCGTCACGTAACAATTGTAACAGAGGGCACACAATGCGGTCGCTTTCACGCCAGATCTAATTTCACTCACGTTCGCAACGTCGTCCCAAAGGGCGTAGATGAAAACAATCATCGATCCTGAGAGCGATAAGCAGCATTGGACTTTCAGGAAAACCAAACAGGAACGACGGAAGTACCAGTAAAAACTCAGTATCAGACCGGAGACGGCCGTCAGCAGCGTGCAAGTCGTGCATCCAATCAAGATTACGAATTGCCTCACTGGGATAACCTCGTTTTCCACCTTCAACATAAGAGATGGAGCGAAACATATTAGAATACAACACTGATTACAACATAGTTTTACATTAGCAAACAGATCGCTGGGGAAATTTAAAATGGAATCACTGAATGAAAAAAAAACTGAAAAGAAAATTTTTACTTATCAAATAATGTGAAATTTAAATTAAATTTATTTAACGATTATGTTAACATTGAATTTTAATGTTAATATTTTCCAATTCCGGACAAACCGTTTATTCCTCAGTCTCGACATTTTTTTTGTTATTCTCGGGATACGAGACAACTATTTTAGGCATTCCCGGGAAGACTCGGGACTCCACAAATTTAAAAAAATGAAAATATTTCCGTGTTATAATTAAAGTGAAAATGATAAAGTACATATTTTTAATATTTTTTAGTCCCGTGAAAATTTTCCCAAAATTTACGGGAAATTTGTCTCGGGAATTCCCTGTTGAGCAAAACTATACACTAGTCGATTCTAGTCAAGTAAGCGTAAATAGAGAAATACCTCGCATAGTACGGATTTTATTAATTTGGATGTATTTGTCTTTTTTTTATTTTATTCCTTGATTTTTATTAATTATCATCAACATAATTAATATTATTAAATATATAAATTTTATTTTGTTTGTGAAATCTCAATAGTTAGCAATTTGTTGTTTCGGAAGTGAGTTTGAGGTAGAAACAACGTTCACCTCGTACGATGTAAACTTTGCGGTTCAGCGGTTTGTTTAATCGTATTTTGAATGCATTTTAAGTTTTTGGTGGAGAGGAAGCTTTAAACCGTTCGATAACATAATTAGCGAAGGTGCAGGATGCGGACCTGAATATGAATGCAACGAGGATAAAATATGCAGCAGCACACACGAGGTTGCCGCTGTAAATTAAATTACAATCCTCGAATGGCCAGCAAATAGTTAATGTCTATTGTGAATTTCATATGCATAGTTAACAGCTCGTTTCATGAAAATTATACTTCTAAACAAAAATCATACGTATTCTAATTTTAATTAAGAAATAACTAAGATAATTCAAACATTTTTCTAGCATTGAAAAATATATGCAGACATATTCTGAACTAACTCAATTTAACCCATACGAAATGATTCTCCAGAAATTGTTGAAAAACAACAAGATATCAACATAGAAGAAATTGCAAGTCAAATCTCTTATTTGAGGCAAATCAGGATAAAGTAGAATTGAAAATAATCAAACTTCAAAATGATTTGTATTGAAAATTATAAAAAATGTATTTGGAAATACACAAAAATTCATGTTTTGCTTTCATTCGACGTGTTTTCTGATATGAATATTTACATATGAAAGTATACATTTATCTCCTCCATTGTATGATCCCGACTTTGAATATATTGCATTTGAATACATCAGCGATCTCATTAGAATTACTCTTATGTTAGTATTTTGTTAACTATACATTTTCTTGTTTTATAACAGATATTAAATAAATTTATATTTTTTGTCAGCTACAAAAAGGTCAAACTGGCCTGATATACAGTAATACCTAGCCTAGTGCGGGTAATAAGTTCCATCAATATCGTACTAATTGATGACATTAACTCTTTGCCAACGTCGCATTTTCAAATGTATTTCTGTAACATAGGTAGCGAGTCTGCAGAACTAACGTCAAAGCTTTTAGGTCTTCATCTGAAAAACCTCCGCTGTAATAGTGACCTTACATAAGCGAAATCTCCTGTGTAAAGCATAGGGCGGATATATCCGCCATACATAGGAAAAGGGTTAAAATCACTTAAAAATAATCTGTATAAAAAGTGACTTATCTAGATGAAGTACAAAAACGATCATTTATATAATTTATGTATAAAAAATAATTTTTAATACTAATTTTATACAATTTATTTTTATTTTGCTCAATTAAAATTCAGTTTGTTTTGAAATTTTCAAAGCCTATTATAGTGAATTAACTCAAATAATTAATCGAGAGAAATGACAAAAGTCGTGTAATTTTTTTTATTTTAAACTAAATCTAATTGAAACAGAAATGTATATCTCGATTTAAAAGGATTTAAATAATATAGAAAATAAATGCAGAATGATGTTAGCCATAAATAAGGGCCAATAGCTTTTGGTAAATGATAAATAAATAATAATCAAAAATTATATAAGTAAATTTTTTTGTATCCTGAATAATAATCGGAGAAAGTATTCACATTATGATATGATCTATATACAGATTTACATAAAAATTATGTTGAGCATAAAAAAAATTCATATAAAACAACGTCGGAACAGAAAATAATGAATAACAAACACTATTTCACCGCAAAAGTCAAAGATGAAACCTCTTTTTCCGCGCTCCGGTGATTCCAACAAACATGTAGAAATATATATTTCCGAATCCGGTATTTGCATTCCGCTGAAACTGAAATATTTACCCACCCGTTTCGATGCTTTCGTTTTGAAAAGGAATCCAATATTATTGTATATTGCGTTACGACTTTAATTGATTTCAGTATTTCCATTCCTCAAAAAATCGCATTGTTTTAACTTCTCCTTTAATTTCAATCTGTTTCATAGTTTGTTGTGCCTTTGTGCGAATAGATTATTTTCAAGCACAAAAGAAATTTATATTCATTTCCACTTAACGTAAAATCCCGGGAAGCGAGAGAAGTGAAACAGAATCGAGAATGGTTTTTGCGCGGTTAAAGGCAAAAGAATTTCCGCGATTTCATTGTTTGGAAGCTGAGCAGCTGCGTGGAATCGATGCAATTAATTTATTGTGCAGTCTCTACTTTTTTTTATGGAAACTCCATTCTGCTTCGGTAGAAATGTAAATACTACTTCTTCGTGGATATATTCAAGTATTCCAAGCAAATACAAACAATGATATACCTTCTCCATCGTTTATATATTTTACTTATATAGACATATGAAAATATGATATGACAAAAAAATAAAAATAAATATGATTTACTGAAATATACAAAAAAAAAATATAACAAAATATTTGGATTTATAAAATTTATTAACTTAACAGTTTTTTTTTGTTTATACGGTAAAACCTCTTTTAGCGCTTAGAACGCGTTACTAGATGACAAAATGAAACAGCGTTAAACATATGTAAATTTACAGCATTTTTTAGAATTCTAGTTATATCGAATCAGCGATAATCGAGGAAGCGCTAAACGAGGTTTTACTGTATTTATTTTTATAAACTATATCCATTATAATTATGTAATGTTACCTCCGCACTATACGAGAGTAGAACCTTAGGTCTCATTACTATATAGTAGTTAATTTTCATTTCATTTTTCTAGAACCAAAATTTTATTATAACTTTAGCAATTAAATATATAATTTCAGTTGTTAGTTTTGCTGAAGTTCCTTTTCAAGATAACCAATGGCAGTTTCTATAACTTTCATAACTTTAGCAATGACATGAATTCACAAGTTTTAACTTTTTACTACAATATTTTCAGCTGTCAGTTTAGCTTAAGCTTTTCTTCATGATAACCAATAGTACTTTCTATACCTTAGAGAATTTAAGCAATGATAAAAGACTGTAATTTACAAGTTTTAAATCTGCAGTAAAATATATAATTTCAGCTGTTAGTTTTGGTGAAGTTCTTTTTCAAGATAACCAATAGTAGTTTCTATACCTTTAGCAATAATTAAAGACATGAATTTACAAGTTTTAACTTTTTACTACAATAATTTCAGTTCTGGTGAAGTTTTTCTTCAAGATAACCTATAATAGTTTCTATACTTTTATAGCTATAGTAAGGATAAAAGACATGAATTTCTATACCTGCATAACTTTAGCAGTGATAAAAGAAATTAATCTAAAAGTTTCAAATTTCTACTAAAATATATATTTTCAGCTGTTCCTTTAGGTTAAGATTTTCTTCATGAAAACCTATAGTAGTTTCTATACCTGACATAACTTTAGCAATGATTAAAGAATCAATTTACAAGTTTCAACTTTGTAGTAAAATATATAATTTCAGCAGTCAGTTTTGGTTATTTTTTTTCTATTTTTACATAAATTTAGTAATGATAAAATGCAATAATTTTTAATTTGAAAGACAGCAACTTACAAGTTTTAATTTTGTAGTAAAATATATAATTTCAGCTGTCAGTTTTGGTTACATTTTTCTTCAGGACAAGAAATTGTAGTTTCCTTATCTTACATAACTTTAGCATTTTTTATTTTGTGCTAAAATATATTTGATCTGTCGTTTGTCTTTATTATACTTAATAGTATTTTCTATATTTTACATAACTGTAACAATCATAAAGGAAGTCAGTTTTGATTGATTTTTTTTACAGTAATTGCATAAGTTTTTACAGTTGAATTTCACCTATAAACTAAAAACTTTGGTTTTAGTATTTACGTTCGAATTATGAAATTTTCAAATGAATTTCATTTATTTTTTTAATCATAAATCACTCGACGTGTAAGTAGAAAACGATGTACTTAGGTAAACGACGATTTATCGTTGATAATGCTGCAATATTAAAGGCATTCGCGCACTTTGACGTGTGCGTGCGTGGCACGAGGAAAGCGCTTTCAATATATGAAATATTTTCGGTGAAAGCTTTCGCGGTGTGTTGCCAAATTAATGATTCACAAAGTGTACGCTATTATATATGTATATACATAGATTGGAATGAGGCGAGGGTTGTTTCGCACGGTGATATTTAATCTTCGAAGGGGAGAAAACCGCAATTTTGTTTTTCTCGTAGGACGAAATAAGGGAGAGGAACGACTTACGAATGACGGCTTCATTGTGAGCAGAATTGCGAACGTCCCGGATCTGGGGCACAGGCATCGTGTCCTCGACGGCTCCAAATTCCTGAAAAGTAAAAAATGAAAAGGGAAGTGAAAATCACGTAAACATGTACTTTATACTTATTTTATTTTCATCTTCCTTATATAAAAATACATAAATGTAAACTTCATGATTTATAGGTGTAGAAACATGTGTGATACTGTGATTCTTTCAAATTTTCTTCAAGAGTGTAGTAAAAAGTTCTTTACTTTATTTTATAACATGTAAGTAAATGTTATTATTATTATTTATACGTACATGGTTAGAACTTAAATAAAAAGTGTAACATTTTTAGTTTTTTTTTCTTTGTCCTTTTCTTTTGCAATAAATATTATTGTTAAGGCATAATTTTTTGAAAATTATAACAATTTATTTAAAAGAATGTTTTGCTTCTATTATAAACATTCCAATAAAAAAAATGGTTATTTCCAAAATTATTTATTATAAAGTAGTAATATTTTTATTAGTAATTATAATATATTAAAGAGTTAAAAAAGAACGCGTATACAAGAAATTGACATCAACGGTAAAACTTTATAGTATTAGCAATACCTCGAATAGTGAAATCGGACTAATCGAGAACTTTAAAACCGCATAAAAACAGCACAAAACGGGACTTGACTGAATAGAGGAAAATAAGATCATTTATGTAAAGATTGCGTACCGTACTATAATGAATCAAACCCGTACTGTGAGAGGTATACTTATATTATGCAAAGAATATTGTATTATTAAAGAATTTTACTATTTGTCTATTTTACAAAAATAGCTTTAATTTTTTGAAAATCCAATTTCATTTTTTTTTATAATTATTCTATATAAATTTTACAAATAAAAGTTTTATTATTATGTCTCTTTCATTGTACATTTTGCGAGATGAAATCCTTGTATAATGCAGAGAATATATTTTGTTGCTTTTAATTAAATATATAGTTTAATTCTTACTTTATATTCCATTTTTTACCTCTCAGAATGAATTATATATTTTATTATTAATATTGTATTGTATTTGTATGTTTTAGTAAATATTATTAATATTTATCAGAATAATTATAAATACAATAACTTTTTTAGCTATTGTCCAATATATTCTTTTAGTTCGTACATTGTACTACAAACTTTTGTACATATAATATCCCATAGGATTCGTCTTCACCGCAAGGGATCAAATCTCTAGTCGATCTTTTAGTTCTTGTAGTTTATTACTATGTCTTTTCTTATTAATCAGAAAAAATGAAAATTCTTGTCTAATACTTAAAATTACACATAACATTTACAAATAAATTTAGATGTAAAGTAACGTAAAATCTATTTAAGAAATCAAAATAAAAATACGTATAAAATATCTATTGACCCCATTCCATTTTCAATAAAATGTTAATACATACTGAATTAGCAATACATTCGTCAATGAATTATTTTTTTATATTTGAATTTATTTTGTACCAATTACATTGTTTATTTGTATCAAACCATTTTTTGGTATGGAATTCAATAAATTATAGTATATTATTTCGTACTATAAAGAACTTTTTGGACGAATTTAAGTAAAAATAGCAATTATTAAGCAATTTTTATATAATTGACATACAGAGGAACCTCGTTAACGAGTTTAATCCGTTTCCGGATTTTTACTCGTATAGTGAAATATTCGTATATTGAAACACGTTTTTCCATATAAACTAATGTGAATTACATTGTAAAACACATTTTCCCATATAAATTAATGTAAATTACGATAATGTGTTCCTTGCCGGAAAAAAAGTATAACTTGGTCTCGATTTTTAATGATTTTACTTTTCATATCTGTGGTTATTTTTAATCGTTGGCTTTTTATTTGAAGGCATGCAAGTGTTATTAAATTTTGTACAAAAAAAAACACACATAACATGTCTGAACACAAGTTTGAAAATGTTGTGATCACAAAAACTGTTTTCCAATTCATAGACAGTAAAGTAAGTTTATATTTGTTTGTATTACTTATATCAATTCGGGGACTTATACTCTTTATACTTATAATATTTGTTTATATAAAAAAGCGTACATAGTGTATATATGATAATGGTTGGACATAATACATTTGTGTTTTGCATTTACAGAAAACACAAATTATATTTGCAAAGTATCCGCATTAAACAATGATGGTTAATAGATTCAAAAATACACATAATATGTGTGCACAAGTTTAAAAAACAAGGTAGCTGGCTCACAATCCGGGACTTCTCTTCTCATCGTCACTCGTTATGTGAAACATCGCTCGTTAAGCGAGTCATTTTTATTACAATTAATTTTACTCGTTAAGCGAAATGCTCGTTATGTGAGGTGCTCGTTAAGCAAGGTTTCACTGTAGTTTAAAGTAGAAATATTTGATCCTATGAAGAAAACTTCAATTATTGATTGTAAATATGTAAAATCAAATATTTCCTCTTGCAAATACATCTAATATTTATGTAGACGCTATGAAATTTTCTTTTTAGTACACGGATATCTGGTTATATCCACTGGAAGTTATAAAATAGATATTTCTGGAATCGCGTGTACGTGTAGCGTGGTAAATACGAGACGAACGAGAATTTACTATTGGCGAAGAAAGGAAAAAAACGAGGTGATTGAAAAAGAAAGAAAAGGAAATAATAATAAAACCGGAGCGAAATCCTCGCGGTTCGAGTCAATATTGGAGGTGTCTATAGATTTAAGGTGGATTTATAAACGGCACGGATCTGGAATTTACACGTCGTGACCACACACATACCCATAACTTTTCAAATACACTCATCCGTTACAATGGACGCATTCATTTGGAAGAAGAAAAAATGCCCGGCAAAGGGTGAAACGCTATAAAACATTTTTTTTATCTGCGACGCAGGTCCATATTTTCGAATACTAAAAGAATGTATTCAATAAACCGATTTAGATACATCATGTCAGATTGAACATAGCTTTGAATTTTTCAGAACAAAATTTAGATTTTTTTTTAAATTATATATGTATATAAGCTTACTTTTTACTTTATATTAAAAGTATAATTTTGAACTAGTAAAATTATTAATAGATTTATTATTTTTTGTAATTGATAAAAAAAAATCATTTTTCAAAGATAATTGTCAATTAACGTGTCAAATATAAGAATGTAGGTCGGTTAGTCGGAATGTAATCAATTTAGAAATATTAAAATTCATCAATAAAACTTACATTTTACTTATATGATTTTGATGTAGTAAAATTATTAACAGATATTATTTTCAATTATAAAACTCTGATGCGATACTTGGCAAGTAATTATAAATACTTCCATAAGTATTTATAGATCGATTAGTATGAGAGTAGGAGGTCTATATCAGAGATACTTGCCAAGTAAATTGTCAAGTATATCGTATACTTTTATAAGTAGTTGTAGATCGCTCGGTCCATATTTTCGGGCACTAAAATAATGTACGCCAATTTGCATACATCATTTTAAATTGGAGATAGATCTAAAGTTTTCTGAACCACATTATACAAGAAAAAAATTAAAAAATATACAAAAACTTAGTTTCAATTTAGTATTAAATGAATATTTTCATCAAGTCAAATTACTTAAAAAATCTAGTATCCTTGCTTTGCTATGCGATACTTGCCAAGTAACACATCAAGTACCTGAATTTTCATAAGGATTTAAAGCCTAAAGCTTTCAATTGATTTTTTTTTATTATGTAGTAACTTGACAAGTAAAGACTACTATGTAACCAAATTATATATACTTCAATACGTATTTGTAACCTAAGCATAATAAAATAGTCACTGTTAAATATGCTCAAGCATTTGAAAGATTTCGTTAGTATACTTGATATATAAAGACTAATATGTAGAGATCAATGAAATTATTAAAAAAAAACTTTATAATTTCATTGCTATGTAATATACTTAACAATTAAACTACTAATATTAAAAGTGATCTTAAAAAATATTAAAGATTACAATGTACTACCCGATACTTGCCAAGTATCTTGTCATATATATATACTTTTACAAGTATTTGTAACCTAAGAATAACAAAATTCTCATTGTTAATTATAGGATGTTTATAACCTTTGAACGCCGGAATTAATTCATAAAAAAAAACTAATTTGTATCATACAAAACTTCCTAATTAACTATCACCTACTATTAACTTTTCTTGTTACACTAACAGTTGGCATCAAGTGTATATTTTAAGATAGGAATAAACTAAATATGCTACATCCGCAGTATGTCGCAGCGTTTGGCGTTAAGAGGTTAAGCAAGAAGATTGATCTTGTTATTTTAATAGTTAGTACATGTTACTTGACAAGTAAATACTGATGTGTAGTCGAAATATTATATAAATATATTTTTAATTGTAATTTTAACATGGTGTTAAATTAAAATTAATATGAAACTCAAAAACACAGTTGATATAATAAATCAAAGCTGAAATGTGTGTGATTACATTTTGACGTTATTGCTCATGGCCATATCCATGGATGCATGATGCAATTGGAATCAGGAATATTCGCACTCGATTATGTACAGTCTCTATGCATGTGTTTATATATCTATATACATGTGTATATATATATGTGTCTGTGAGTGTTGGTGCACGTGTACGCTGCATGTCCAGCATGATTATGTAATTTCGTCGTATTACCTTGTTAGGCAAGATTGGGTGTCCCATGAATAGCCGTAACTGGCGTAATCCGCGACTCCGCACACGATCTTCCATGAGTCCGGCGGTGATTCGTTCTTCACCTGGTGATTGAACTCCATGGTGAAAAGACCGTCTGACAGGTTACCGCTCTGCTCGCTTCCGTTGTGCTTTAGCCAAGCAGTCGCAATATTCGAAATCACCTCGTAATCCATTTCGATTCCATCTCTGAAAAATTACAAAAAAACACAAAAAAAATAATTTTATTCCAATTTAATTTCAATAAAAGTTACAAGTAATATTTTCAAATATAAATATATTTAAATAGGCAGTGTAATATGACATAATGCAATGTCATAAAAGAAGCGTTACTATTTAATTTTGCCGACAATTTTGTTTTTTTTTTCTTAACTTAAAGACTTCAAAGCTTGAAGACTTCAAAAGTTTTTATTATATAAATATTTAAAAAAAAATATACAATATAAAAAAAATATCTATTGTAATCATGATGTATAGTATACAATTCCAGTAATAATTGAGCAATAAAAATGAAAATACTGAAAAACAAACTTTATATGAAAATACTTAATACAATAAATCCATAAATTAAATAATTCCAGCTGCAGGATAATCCAATTTAATTGGATTACAGAAAACGCGGTAATTGATTACTGATTGAAAATATTTATCGAGTTTTGTCTGGTATGAACATTTGTAAATTATGTTTTATTGTTATTTGGAAGTTAACTAAATATTGGAGTTCTTTTGATTTAATGTTATTATAAAATTAATTAATTTAATTTATAACAGAACATTAGTTTATTATAGGTTTCTGAATGTAATTTAGCTTTTTTTAAATCAATATAGATTAATAACTTATTATTTCATTTTTTTGGTTGTATTTGTATTAAATTTTGAAAAAAAAAAATAAAAGTTTTTCAATCAATTTCATTATTTTGTAACTATTAAGTAACACTATTAACTAACATTAAAAGCTTTAGATTTTTATTCACAATCGTAATACAGTTAACGTACGTAACAAATTATCTTATACTAAGCAATTATACATTAAGTGAACGATACATTTTCTTAAATATTAATATTTGATTTCTTTGTACACACTTCTCATCGTTCGCACTAACGTACTAGATCAGAGGTTCCCAAACTTTTTTGTGTTGTAGACCCCTTGCCATGTTTTTCGGTTTTGGGTAGACCCCCTACTTACACTGCGTTCATTCAAACGTACACTTGACTAAATTAATTAAAATCTATATTCTATTTTGTCAAATATTAAAAATACTAACATAGCAATATACCAAAATTATTGTTTCAAAGTGACAGATGTCAATCTTTCGATAATTCTATCGGTGGTAATACAAAATTTATTTATTTTTATATGGATAATTATTTATATATTCTGGATAACTTCATATTATAAAATATTTTATAGTATTTATATTAATATTTATTTTTTTGTATACACTTCTTTTCGTACGCACTAACGTACTCGACGTTAATTCAAACGTGCACTTTACCATCATATTCGGAAATATTTTAATTAACACTTTAATGAACTAAAGCAATATTTATATCTCCACTGGATGATTTTGTAGAAAACTTTAATTAATCAGTTTAAATGTTCTGTTTTAGTGCATTTGAAAAGCGGAGGAGAGACAATTTGCATCAAAGAGAGAATCGCACAGCATTCTATACAGTACCACAAACATCATGTACACTTGTATGCGGATATGCAAATATACAAACGTGATAAAGGCTTTGCTGCACCAGAAAAAAAAAGAGATAGTAGTGACAGCCAGTAAATAGCTTTGACTTTGACCGACATTACATCGAATATTACTCGCATCAAACAGGCGCAGCACGGCAATCATCAAATCCGAATTGCATGTGCTTCATTAGGGAAACTAAATTATGTGTTTCACGTTTCTACAAGTTATACATAAATATTCAACATATTACAAAGTTGTAATACAGTATTACATTAACATTTAATGTTTTAAACATACTTTTTTTTGTAATTAAACTCATACACGATTAACAAATTGGATGCGTTCTACAAAATTAGTGTTTAACTTAGTTAATACTTCTGTTTCAGAGAAAAACAGTCAGAAAATAAGTTTTATTATATAAACTACCATATACTATGGCTCTGTTATCAGACGTACGATTAGCCGAGTAATTAGTCAGTAATGTATATCTAATTAGTAACATTATGAGATGAGGGATGAAATATTACGTCTAATACAAAATTACTTCGTTAAGCGAATATTTCATAAAGAAAATATAGTATTTTTTGGAACAAAGTAAACTTTCATTATATAAACTTTGTAATATAGAGGCTTCGTTATTAAAGGTAACGTTAACCGAGGTTTTCAGTAATGTTTACTTAGTTAGTAACAAAATGGATGAATTTAATTATGAGAGATGAAATATTACTTGTAGTACAACATTAATTCGTAAATAGAAACGTCGTTTTAAGAGATAAAAAGATAGAATGGGGATACGTTCTTTCGTAAAGAAAATACAGTGTTTTTAAAACTAAGAAAAATTTTATTAAATAAACTTTGCTGAATCGAGGCTTCTTTATTGGACTAATGCATTATTGAATTATGAGAGATGAAATGTTACGTATGATACTAAATTATTTCGTTAAAATGCAGTGTTTTTTTTTTTAGTACAAAGAAAATATTCATTAATTTCATTTATTCGTTATTAGAGATAACGTTAACCGTTGATGTGGTATTGTGGTATTGACCTAGTTAGTAACATTATGGATGAATTAATGTTTTAATGAAATATTACATATAGTACAAAAATATTTTGTTAAACGAAACTTTGTTTTCAGAAGTGTTTTTATTTGATGAAAGAAAAGTTTTATTCTATATGAGGATTCGTTATTTGGGGAAAAGTTAACCGGGGTATGAATCCATTATAGATTATATGACTTATTATATTATCAAACTTTTCAGTAAATTTATTCTTGATACGAAATATATGTATGAAATTTGATATTTCTTTTGTAAATCTAGTATTTTAATATTTTGTAAAATGAGAGTTAAAACTGATGTATTTAGTAATGTACACCTAGTTATGGACGAATGTATGTTCTAATTATGAGAGATGAAATATTAGAAAATGAAAATATAGTAGATGATGTGTGGGGGTGGAAATGAATACTTGAAAACGGTGCCTTGAGTAGAGCTCGGCAACGTACGTTGTTGTTATATTATGATCATGTTAATGCTATAAAGTATGTATGAAGGGCTGTTTTAGTGGTGGTAGTAGTAATAGTAGTAGTATATACTTACTTGAGCCGGATGGCGGATCTTTGGGGCAGGAAGGCGGATAAATTCCTGTAAACCACGACCGCTAATGTTGCAGATTTATTTGGCGAGGCGAAGTAACGTTGAGGGAGTGCCAGATGTAATTTATAAGAGAACCACGTTGGGTAGCTGCAAGAACCACATACAAATACACACACACATATATAGTCTATACATAAAATACACATATAAGCGCATGCACATGGAGCGATGATAAGATGTAAGTGACAATCCTGGTAGTAAGCCAAAGGGATGAGGGAGAGGAGAACAGTATCATCTATCTCAAAAAATATAGGAAGAAAATGTAACGAGGCCAAAAAAAATAGAGGATCGAGAGAGGGTTGCATGTCGGAGTGAAGCGTTCCTCACTCCTTCCTTCGCATAATTTACATGTGAATTACGCGACAACACTTTATTATAACATGTGGAGGCTTTTTATTACAGTATCTTGGCTTCCTCGCTGCGGAAGGCTCTTAGAAACTGAGTGCTCCAAAAGATCAAAGAAAAAACTATTGAAGAAAGTGTAATACGAAATTGCGTATAATTTTTTATCCTAGGATATTATAAATAACATTATGATTTATTTTAGAATTATCAGAGTACACGCATATTTTTATTCATATTGAATTTATCATTTTTTACTAATATACTGTATTTACTGCATTTGTTTAGACTATAAGACGCACCTCATGAAAGCTTTTTTGTATACTAATTTCTTTAATCGTACTCGACGTTCATACAAACGTTCACTTCATCGTCATTCCTTTTATCATATTCCACATTTTACAAAAAGTATATATTATCATTTCAATCCAAAACGCAATAATATAAGCTTCGATCAGTCCGGTTTGAAAATTTCAAAAGAAACTAAATTTTTATTGAATAATCATTTATTTTCGTCAAGTCTCTTAGTGTGCAGTTTATTATTATGCGACTTTACAGTCATAGAATAGTCTGGTTTCAAGCAGCTCGAGATAATGGTAAAATCGATTACCCGTACTATGCGAGACATTGCTGTATATGTATTATTTTAATGTGTACAAAAAAATGACTTTACTATAATTTTATCAATATCTCCAAATCTCTTTCACTATGTAAAAAGGTACGATTTATAATCTGAAAAATATGTATATTGAATCATATAGATTTTATTATACGTTGTAAATTTTCATAGAAAAAAAACAATTATTTATATACTATTTTCATTTTGTCATAATATTTCATAGTAAATAAAAACTTACATATTAAGTTTTTTTTTAATTATTACTAGAAAACTTTCATGAAATGTACATGTGTAGTAAATATGAATAAATTATTGATTTATATACATTTATTTTTACAATTTAGTTAGAATTCAATTTACGTATTTCAATAATGCGTAAATGATTAATTATTGTTCTGTAACAAATATGTTCGATAATACGTACATGACTATTTAATTTTGAATACTAACAATATTAGATAATAGTTTTTCAATACTGCTTGGAAAAAATAATGTTACTAATTTATGATAAATATATAGGCATCGTTCAATTACGATACATTCGATAATACGTACATGATTAATAACTATTGTTTGTTCACAGAAACGTACAAAAATATCAATAAAATAATGCCAGGAATTAGTTGGTATCTATTCTAGAATCTAGTCAGATTAAGAATTTCCTCTCAAAAATTCCATTATAATAATACAAAATAATATCACGGTCTGACGATAATTTAATATATTTTTAAGCATGGACATATCTATAAGAAAATAAAGATGGGTTCATTGTTAAAGTGTATGAAAATAAAGAATTGAGCGAACGAAGAAATACATTCATTTACCGTACAAAAAGTTATGAATACCAACTATTCTGTAATAGTTCTATACTGTGTAACTTCAATATTTTTCACTGTATAAATAATTTATATATTTAATAAAAAAATGATATAAAATCATCACAAAATACCGAAGTGATAAAAAATATAATTTATATATGTACGCAGATACCGGAAAAGTGTACGTTCGTAATAACGTCAATCAAATACTTTTAATAGATAATACATAAACAAAAGAATGTTTGTATAATAATCCATCGTATTTAAAAGTTGTAGTCATTAAGTTGCATTCAAAACCGATGAATACGGAATGGAAATTACACACTACTAATTATATACTTGTTTTTCTATATTTAATTACGCTTCAGCGAAACGCCATGAGAATTATAACAAATTGCGTTCAATAAATACATAACATTATCGAAGAGAAAGGAGAAAATAAAGGAAACAATAACATCTACCGACCGATAAATTCAATATTAATTACAGTTTATGCGGTATACTATAATTTAAATTAGTTTAATTAATTGTATATTGAATCAATGGAATAAACCAGTTTGTTTATTTAATAGTTAAATTGCGTTTTCACATTGGGACTACTGCAGCTATTGGAAATTGCTTTTCACAAATATGTAATATAAATTCTGTTGTATTTCCCATAATCTATTTTAACGTGAATTATAAATAATTTGATGTGAAATGTATTTTTTTGTAATCATTTATATTCAATTATAATTTGTCAAAAAAAAGTCTTTTACACTGTTTTTTTTTCAAAAATTAATAAGGAAAT